TTGAAGCCCTTCCCGCACTCGGGGCAGCGGAAGGGCCTCTCATCTGTGTGAATCCGCTCATGGAGGAGGAGACAGGAGCTGGTCTGAAACCTCTTCCCACACTTGAGACACTCATAGATCTGCTCCCCACTGTGGAACTTCTGGTGCTTGTTGAAGGTAGACTTCCACTTGTAGCTCTTCCCACATTCCCCACACTCATAGGGACGTTGCCCAGTGTGGATCTGCTGGTGCTGGATCAGGCTGCTGCGATGTCTGAAGCGCTTCCCACATTCCCCACACTCGAAGGGCTTCTCCCCTGTGTGGATCATTTGGTGCTGGATCAGCTGGGACCTGTACCTGAAGCCCTTCCCACACTCCAAGCACTTGTGGGGCTTCTCCCCCAGCTCTGAGCTCTGCCTGGATCTCCGGCTGCTTTCCCGGCACAGGGAGGGTCTTTCCTCCTCACAGCTCCCTGGATTGAGTTTGCAGCCCCTCCTTCTGTAGGATCTCTGGGCTTTTTCCTCCTTCTCCTCCATCCGGCCACACCTTGGGAATGACAAATCCTGGTTTTGGGGGAGAAAGAAGGAATGAGTGCCCTGGATTATGGATTCCTCCTGCCCAGATCCTTCTCTGGAAGTCTCCAGGTTTTTTGTGCCCATAACAACCCAATACTATTAAGATGCAGCCCAGAAATAGCCCAAACATAAAGACACAGCCCCAAAACAGACAAAACATCAAGATTCAGCCAAAAGCACCTCAAAAGTATAATGATTCAGTCCCAAATAAAAACCAAAAAGCACCAACATTTAGCTCAATAAACATCAGAAACAACAAGATTTAGTCCCCATGAAAATCATGGATCTTCCTCCCAGGTCACTTTTTGGATGTCAGGGGGTCAATGTTCCTGGGGCTTGTGGAGCCTGGGAGATACAGGGAGTGTTGGAACCTTGGAGTGCCTCCTCTTCCTGCTCTCCTCTACCTGCTGTATCCCTGCCCTTCCTCACTCTCCTCTTCCTCTCTCTACCCCTCCTCCTTCCCTTCTTTCTCCATAATGCAACCTCCTTCTCACCCTATGTCCATCGCTCCTCCATTTCAATCCTCAACCTTCCTGCCCTTCTCCTCATTCCCCCAGGCCCAGCACCCACCCCTGGYCCCCTCCTGCCCCCCAAACCCATCCCATCCCACGGGAGGAGCAGGGATGGAGCTGGGGCAGCTCAGGCTGGGCAGTGCTGGGCTCTCAGCCACCCCCACCAGGACAGTGCAGGGGGCCCT